TATATATTTTTTTTTTTTTTTTGGTGTAAGTCGGTCGATTTTTCTCTGTTGTAAAGTTAAATAATAATGGGCAAAGTATTGTAATGTAGTCAATTGTTGTGCATGTAGTTACTCTTTGTTGCTCACATCAAGGGACCAAAAAATATAAGTCGGAACGAGTTTATTCATTACAGATTTTCCCCATTAATCAACAGATATATCTGTTAGCAGAATTTTATTTAAACAATTATTGGAATCGGCCGAAAGAAAATGTCAGTTGGGCTGCAGTTTATGCTCGTCTGTTGTTTTCATTGACTAATTTCTCCCACAGGAGGTTGCCACATTGTGATTTTCCTACTGGTATTTGTTTGGCTGTTTTCTGTGCTCATTTGATGACTTGTTGCAATCATGCAGTCTATGTATAAAACAACAATTGAGTTGAAAACCAACCAATTTAAGATCATTCTAGCATGATTAGGATGCCTTTTTGAAACTCCTTTAATTCTCTTTCTACTGGTACAAACATTTTGTTGCTGTACTCGTTTTCATCCTTTTATGCAAGTTGTACCTGTGTCAGTCAGGAGCTTTGTGGCCTCCAACACCTTCTCTGTGTATATTCCGGGTTCATAGTTGTCCATTTCAGAAGTGACCACATGGACAACTCGGGCAGCACGGCCTCGAATAGCCCCAGCAGTGCGATCCAAACCATCCACGTCTTTCTCTTGCAGAGCAATAACACATTTATTCACGTCCTCAAGGATGTGGTTCTCTGGGGGACAATAAAACAGTTACAGTAAGTACAATTCCCTACACTATGATTTGCACCATATATTTTGGTAATGTGGGTCTTATAAATCACCATGACTTGCATCATATATTTTGGTATTGGTAGTGTTTCAAAGTACTACTTACCAGAGACACAAAGGAAGTCATCGATGGATGTTATGTCGTCAACAGCATCAGTGAGGACTCTGACCTGCTTCTCCCATTGTTCCTTGAACAAATCCATATTGTCTTGTGCCACCTTACTGTTAGGCTTTGCAGCTAAGGCCAAAGCCGCATTAATCACCTGCAATCGCCCAATCAAAAATATGTTGCCGTCATTACGATGACTGTAATAACTGCAGAAACTGGACAATCAATAACACCTTAAACTACAACTGTAGTATTGAAACCGTGCACTGAGGATAGCATATTTCAGGAAACAATTGAATGGGTTGAACGAAATTGTGAAACTCCGACTAAATTCAATGTGCAAGTTCTATTATTAGCTTATTGCAGTTTGAAGAGTAAACACTTGCGTAACTATTTTGTACTAGAACACAAAAGTTTGCAGGAGTCTATAATCAAAGCCTTTAATGTGTACACCGCTATGTCTACAATTACAACAATATTTTAATACACGTGCTGTATTTCTTTCCATGGTTATACATAGAGTTCCTATATTTCACAACTACAGAAATCAAAAGTGAATTTGATGCAAGTGGGTGTAAACAGCAGTAATACCTGAGGGCAAAGAGTTTCCAATTGAGATGCTGCCATCCGGACCAGCTTCACTCCCTCCTCGTTGTTGGAAATGGAGCAGGCTAAGTTGGCCACCTTAACAGAAGAATAAGAAAAAATTGGCACACGCCAGAAAATAAGCGAGAAACTTCAGATTTTTCTTGAAGACTTGAAAGATACATGACAATTTCTAAAAACAGTTTTACATCTTCCCAAGAAACATTGCGCTTCTCCAAAAAAAATGCTGGTAACCATGAACGAGAAGAACTCTGCCAAATGCCCAGTCCAAAATGTGCTGTAGGGTAATCTATTACAATTTGACTTTTCTACAGCAGGAGAAAAAGTGTTGTCACTCGTCTGTTTCTTGTCTCTGCAATGTTAAATGTTCACCAGTTAAATTTAACTAACAATCTTAAAAACCACATGGTTCTGACAAATGTGGATCTGCTTAAATGGCATCCAAAGATGAATGTGGGTCAGTCATAACATCATAACGGTTTCAAACAAATGTGTATAAACTAATGGACCATTTGCCTTGAGGCCACCAACCCTTGTGCTCATATCACGAGAACAGAATAGTGCAACGTTGATACTTATTTTGTCAAAGACCAATTTTAAGAGCACAGATTTCAGGATTTTGATCGAAAGCGACATCACTCCATCTATGCTGCGTGTGGACAAAGTTGTTGGTGCCACGCGAATAAAGATTAAAAAAAAAAAAAAAAAAATTGCAAAATTGTCACTGAAATGACGTGAAGATAAAAACTACCCAATTCACACACACTGCTTTTGAATTATCTTTGGTCATCTTATAAGAATACAGCAAGAGACAGCAAAGCTATAAAAATGAGGTTTTGAAACTGGAAGCACTGCACATTGTATTAAAATAGGATTAGCTTCCCACCTCCCACTTCACCTACATTAAGTTATCCATTAAGTATTTTACTCTTCAAGTAGCGATAATACATACAAGTGACAGGATGAGCCTGTCAATGTCCTGAGGTCTGACAGTGAAGTGTTCCTTGGCAATTTAAAAGGTCTCCTCCCTGATGTGGTGCCCCATTCTGTGCAATTCACCGGCAGTGTGTTTGGCAAAAGCTTATGCTACTCTATTCTCACTCGACCAGCCAATACAGTGGACTTGTGGTCAACCGCCCATGGGGAGATGTCCCATTTCAAATGTCAGCATTTGATGCTTGAACACGGGCATTCAAGGAATTGAGTGAAAGTACACTAATGAGGTCAGCTAGTGGTGCCTCTGGCTTGTTGCTTCTCCAAGGTCATCATTTTGTGGTTTCTCAACTGCGCTCATGTCCTTAATAGGGAAACATTCCAATGATCAGCATGGTAAGATTTTGAGGTTGTGACTGCAGAAATCACAGATGAAAGTGGACTTTCCTGAAAATTCCGGGGGGGGGAATATACAGTCAAACCTCGGTTTTCGGCCATAATTCGTTCCAGAAGGCTGTTCGAAAACCGAAATTGTTCGAAAACCGAAACCACGCTCTTTTTAAAATAAAAATGTTTACTGAACACGTCTGCTCACAATGGAAAGCAACACGAGGAAGCATCACTTCCTCGTGTAAGGAAGGCGAGAGGTGTCAAATGGTGCATTCAAGTGCGCTCAGTTCATTCGTGAACAGAAATTTGTTCGTCATCCGAGGCATAAAAAACACGAAATTTTTGGTCGAAAACCGAATTGGTTGAGAACCGAGACGTTCGAAAACTACACATAATATATATACATACACATACACACACACACACATATACATATATATATATATATGTGTGTGTGTGTGTGTGTGTGTGTGTGTGTGTACAGTAAAATGAACAGCAAGGATACTGCGCAGAACCCTCAAGCTTCCTGGCCTCTGGTAGAGGACCCGAGCTGAATGGAGGGGATGGACACCACCCGAGGGGTGAGACGAGCTTATTATACTATATTATATACAGTAAAATGATTTTAACTGACTTACCAGGTTTGTTGACCTTTCTAATGTAGTCGGACAAAAAAAATCTCCGTTCAAGTCCTTTTCCTCAAGCCATGACCACTTGAACGTGTTCCTAACACTCGCGTCTATTGCACGTATGTCAGCTTGCCTGTCTACCTGTTTGAACATTGCGCTGGTCCCGTACCTAGGCGATCACGCATGAATTAGTTTAAACAAAACACTATTCAAATACTCGGCATTCAATGATTAATCTGCCTTTTGTGTGCACACGTGCACCTTCTGTGGCTTCCGTTCACGCCGAAGTTATGATGAAAAATATGGCGAGGCCATGAGAATGAGATGGGAGGGGTGTTACTGTTACTAGTGTTAGTGCCTCAACATGGCTACGCTCGTGAAAGCAAAATTTGGACAAAAAGGGAAACACACAGATTGGCAGAAAAACGTGTCCGTCCGACCTCGAGCGTCGTGTCATCTCTGCTAGCTTAGCTGTTGTCGTAGATGAAAGCTTCTTTGATCTGTGACGTCCGTTGCGTCGGCGCTGATTGGTTGAAACCAAAAGACGCGCGCGTGTGTGTACATGTTCGCGCTGACGCACGCACAGCAGAGAGCAGCGGACTATCGAGTGCTGAGGCGCGCTTCGCTCGAGTGGTGTCGCTACAGGCAAAACAACGAACTCAAACGCGTGTTTGTTCAATGTTGTCAACTAATATCCGGATTTTAGGTAATTTTTCCTCAATTTTCCAGAGGAACTTTCATGAAAATTTGAAAATCCGGAATTCCGGGAAAATCCGGAGGACTATCATCACGAAGCAATCAACACATTGACGAGCATTATCCATGAGCAACAGGTTAAGAATTCAGCCGGAATATGGCGGGAGGAAGGTTAAACCAGTCTATTTTGTAAATCATTCACTACAAAATTGAAACACAGCACAACTTTAAGTCAACACTAAAAAAAGAGACTGGCTAATGGACCTAGAGGAAGTTGATTAATTCTAGTAGGCTGAGTAAAATAAGTCAATTTGGGAAGAAAAAAAAAGATTACCGTAATTTCTGGACTATAGACCGCACCTGATTATAAGCCGCACCACTACATTTTAAAGGAAAAAATATTTTGTACACACATAAGCCGCACCTGTGTATAAGCCGCAGGTGCCCATATTGTAACATGAGATATTTACAAAGAAATACGGTACACAGGCGGCCGTTAGAAGTCTTTATATAAACCGCTTCATGAAATAAGCTGCAGAGTTGAAAGCGTCTGACAAAAGTCGCGGCTTATAGTCCGGAAATTACGGTAGTCTTCAGGTTGAATTGGGTTTTGACAAAGGATTCAGTCAACATTGTGCATTACCTCGATCAACTTGTTGGCATGCTCACGGAACACCTGTGCATATTCCTTCACTTCTTTCTCGTTGCCATTCTTTGCAGCTTCAATCAAGACCAGGAGGGGTACGTTGGTTTCCAAAAATGAGTCAGACACATGGTCCATTACAGCTTTACGCAGCTATATTGGTGAAAAATAGAAGAAAATGGCAATGTTTTAAGTTTTCAAAGCGTGTATGATGCGGCATTTATTCACTTGCTTTATTGCATTAATGGCAATACTAAAAGGGCAGGGGGTGGAAAAGAATAGAGTTCAAAAACCACAAGGTCAAATTAAAAAACAAAAAAATCACCTGTCTGCGGAGGTCTCTGGTTTTCTTTGTCATCCTGTCAATGGCTGTGTTCAGAGCATCACTCCTGTCCTTTCTGCCGGCCTGCAAAGAAAAAAATGGGAGGATCACAGACTGCATGGTAATGATTGTTTCATGATGTAATACCCAAGATCAACGCAACAACAACAACGCAAATTAATTTTAAACTCTATGTGACTGAACACCATCCACAAACCATTCACATGTGCATCCAGGATCCTGGAGATGAGCATGAAGCATACTACGGCTTGTACAGAGTAGTTGACTTCACTGTCCCACAAAAACATACTGTGCGTGATGTCAACTGGTTGCTGTCTTTGACTTGAGAAGACAATATTCTAAACATGAGCTCACTGAATGAAATTAGCTTTTTTTTTTATTCATTTAAATGCTCTACTCTGTATTTTCAGCTTTGTTAATTGAGGGAGAACCAGTAAAGGAGAAATTTTACAATATTTTCCAGACCACACTTTCAAAGTGGAAGAAGAGCATGGAATTATTTTACTGCAAACAAAGAGATCCACAATTATTTGCATATATTTATGCATGTTCTATCCCGCTCATCCTCATTAGAGTCATTGGTGTGCTGAAGAAACACGCACCAGAACGAGGAGAGGTTACCCAGTTTTGCCATGTTCTGCAAAATTTTACCTGGCTGTCCCAGCGGCAAGGCAAACAAAATAATTTTTTTTCTCTGGCTGAAAATATCATGCAACCTTGAAACAAAGCCTTCACCCAAGCTACAGTATGTTGCTGCTTGTGTTCTATTCTGCATGCTCTTGGTAAATTTAACATATATTATCCATAGTCAATGAAAACATTACAAAAATATATATATAATCCTCCTGTAATTATTATTTTTAATGAAGCTTCTGTATTGAAAAAAACGTCAGTTACTAGTCGTCGTCGTCGCTTCGACTTTCATCACATTAGTGTCGAGTCTGTCAACCAGTGCTGGAAGAAAAGTCGACCATTCTCAGAGTCATCGATGGTAAAATCAATTCGAAAAAGATTAGTTTGTGACAGTCCTACAGTCGACTTACAAAAAATCTGCAACATCTAGCTGTATCAAAAGCAGTAGATTATATCCCATGAACACCTTGGCAGTGCTTCGGAAGTGCAAGGGCAGCTCTGCAGCAACTCGCCCAAATATTTTGATCTGTCACTGGGCTTAAATGGAAAACCTTTCGAGATATGATACAAGGGAAATTCCCCAAGTCAAAGGCACCAGTAACCGGAGAGACACATTTGATATAAGATTTCTGGAAGAAATGACACCCCCCCTCCCCCCAAAAAAACATCATTGACTAATTTTCCTTTTTCAGTTGCACCATACTGTAGATAAGTCTATGTAAGGACTTTTACGGCTTTGGTGTAGTAGGAAATGGGTCCCACAGAAAAGTACATACTAATCACCCAGCTGGCTACTATAGAGGTGCCCCTGAGCAAGGCATTGTCCCGACTACCCCAGCTCAACTTGTTGCAGTACTTTTTGTGCACCTCTTACTCTGAATCTCTGCTTGCAAACATGCATGTGTGACCTGGTTTTGTGTGGTGTGTTTAACACAGACGTATGTATCGACGTGCCTTACTGATTCTGCAGGAAAATGTGAAAGACAACCAGTGATCATGTTTGACTTTGGAGGTTCCACTAGTACAACAATAAAAATTGAAACAAATGAAAATTGTACAGACATAGTACATTTATGAACGTACAATTTAATGTAAGTGAATAAATTATGGATAGAGCATTTAAACTCTTTTTGGCAGCAGTGAAAGTTACGTGCAAAGCAGTAGTAAAAGTCTATCCACTGTTCCCCACAGAACAGAGATGTTCAGCCTCATTCTGCAAACTGCTCAAGTGGAAGTTAGCAGAACTAAAACTTTCTCACAGACACAAACTGGTTGGCTCCCACAGAAAGGCAGAGAACATTAGCAAGGTTGCAGGGCAATTAGATAGACACGGTAGAGCAACAATGAATGAACCAGTTGGATTCTGGGCTTTTCACCCCCTTTATAATGTGCAAATCAGATGCTACACCACCATGGACCTGCCTCATCGCTCAACACTGTTTGGCTATCAAGAGGGGGTAGGTAGTGCACACAGAGACAAGGGATCTCGCGGGGTATTAATCCCCGGATTTTTGTTTTATAGTTTTTCAGTTGGATGCAGTTCTGTGGTTGAGTGGCTGCTCTGTCCCGACTCTTGCAATCCCATTTCATGGCCTATATTTAATTTCTACACTAGAGCATTCAAAGGCACTTCTTCAGGTGCTTATTATGGAAGCCGTTTGTCAGTGGCAGCTTTTACGGTTCTAAAGTTAAGTCTATGCATCACTTTAATTAAGGAAAACTTAATAACATCCCTTGTCCACAAAAACATCTAAGTGGATTGTGTGAAAAGTTATACATGCTGTAGATGTCAAATCAGTTGTTTCTCCAAAAATGCTTTCATGCGTACCCCACCCAACCTATACTACAATCCTCCAGAGGCATCACACTGGGTGATTCACAAGTACGACCGTTACATGCTGGTCGAGGAGAATGAATATACAGTAAATATTCTCTAGTGCGGACTCGTGTTTGCGCTGTCCAATTTGTCCTGATAACAGAAATTCCTCATTTGGGAAATGAGCATGGTACATGTCCTTTATGAACCTGCAAGTATGTTGACAAAATGCACGTGTAACAACACAATCAATAAAATACAAAAATATACTGTCCAAAAACTGTTTATACAACAAAAACTGCAACACAGGTGTATCCAAAAAAAAATCACAACAGTAAAATACGTACAGTATTTTAATGTTTATTTTTTTTCTGTCTTGGGAAAAAAATGTGTCTATTTTGGATTGTTTTGTTGGACGCATTCTTTGGTTTATGGCAATGTTTGCCTGCGTGTCATACAGTTTTCTTGCTAGTTGCAAGTAATTGTCCCATTGATCACCGATGTCTGGTAATTCTTGTGCATACTGAAGGATTTTTGTTGCCATTTGCATTGCTTCCTCGCTGGATGGTGGCTTGTCATCAGGAGTTGAATCGA